AAAATGAGAGAGCAGTATATTCGGGGATTAAATCCTATGAATCAATACAATGTCCGCATGATGGCTAAATACCATGACACTAGAGATAATATTACAAAAGCATTAGTTGAAGCAGAAAAATTTTCACTACTACAAGGCAACTTTCCATTCCCACCTTCTGGAGGTCAAGTGCCTAATCCCTATGAAAAAAGTATCAATACAGGTTTGACCGAAACTGAAGTTAAAAACTTGATAAAATCTATGATACCAGCTACACAATCCACTGCTTCTAAGCCTCAAGAAGAACAGTCTAATCAAATCACGCTTTCACAAAATGATTTCAAAAAACTTATAGCGGGTTTAAAGGGAACTATTGCTAAAGGACAGCAAACTTTGAAGAAACCCCCTGGACCAGGGAAACAAAAAGCTGATGAACTTGCTATAGACCGTTTTTTAGATAGTTTACCAGTTGATACAAGTTTACCAGAAGAAGCTTATGACTATGATCCTATTGAAGATTTGAGAAAACAATTCGAGGATTTGGATATCAATCAAGCAAAACTAGCTCGAATAATACATGCTGTTTTAAGATCATCTCAATACAAATGTTCAAAGTGTGATAAAACAGGCCATAATTCTCGCAATTGCCCTAAAAATAAAAAGAAAAGCAAGTCTAGACGTTCTAATAGGAACAAATCTGGCCGTTCTAACAAGCGCAAGTCCAAGAAAAAAGGCAGTGTCAATATTACTACTGTAGATTCGAGTTCTGACTCTGATTCTAATACCAACTCTTCAGATAATGAATCTAATTCTGACTCTGAGTCTGGATCTGTTTCTGGTTCTGAATCGGAATCTGATTTTGAGAATAACTTTACTGAGGATGACATCGTGAAAATTATAAATGCTGTCAATGCTGTTAAATCAAAAAAAAAGTAAAGCGAAAGAGTAAATTATCCTCTAAAAAGAAGTCTAGTCCAAAGAAACGTATTTCACAAAAGAAATCGGGTACGATTATCGACTCACAAATCCGAAAAATTATTCTAGCTATGTTTAACGATCCAGAGGTTATAGAAACAATTAAAAACAATATTAATAATACAAATTTATCTATAACTCGAAGAGTCGCCCCTAAAGGGCCTGCAAAACCCGACTTTATAAATTATCGAGAGCCGGCCCCAGAAATACCCGAATCAGATGACGAAGAGGAGATGCTGAATGATCCTATGGCGATCGATTTTGTCCGTCGGG